TAACTGCGCAGCAGTTTCTGGCAGCTCTCAGAAGAGAGTAACGAAGGATTCTGTGTTGATGAAACGTGCTCAGCGAGAGCGGACTCGAGCCTAAGGATCATCACTGGACCTTATAAATATTTGGGTTGATCAGCAGGCTTTTGGACTAAGAGAAGTAGAGCCCCTTCAACGATCGTGGCGTGCTCCAATTATCCTTCAGTGAACCACGTGCAATTATCCTCTGAATAATCTGTGCCGAGAAGATGCGCCATGTGATGCAGGTGGTAGTGTGCGCTAGCCCATCCACTATGATTATGATTTATTAGTGGTGAGTATAGTAGCCAGAAATGGAACCGAACAGAAATGAATGCATCATGATGAGTTAAAGCATGATGGCCCACGCAAAACTGGTGAAAAATATTAGGTTCATCCCCATTCAAAAACGTGGAAAGTTTCATACAAATAAAAGGAAGAGGAAAACAAATTCTAAAAAGTAATATTTTGGCTTCAGCTTCAACAAAGGTAGATCCATCTTTCTTTAATGACTCGCTCCCAGTGCCCCGAGAGCGTTTGGACCACAAGCACCTTGATTTTTCTTCATTAAGTGCGAGTAAACTGCTCTTTATACCGATTCCTGCGGATGAAAAAACGTTTGCCGTTGGACAGTATCTTCGACTGACCAGAACAGATGCAATTGCACAGCTGTGGATGGGAGAACAAGACGATTGAACCTAGGTTTCATTTTGTGTGTACCCGAGCACTGCGGGATATTACGTTTATTCAGGGTCTGGCACTACTGAGCAACAGTAGACTTCTTGCAGTTGAGCGATACCATCCAACGATCTAGGCGACCCTATCGTGGTGTCGATCCCGGCGACCCTATCTTGGTCCGCTCACTCTAGGGGAAGGGACACAAATATAATATAATACCTTGTGAACTAGTAGAAGTACAGATAATCAGAAGCCTGAACGTTGAACAACTCATAATCAAAAGGCTATTCAATAAAAGCAGAGCCATTATAGGAAATGGATAGTGTAGATTCGAACACACTCACTAAGAGGACCTAGAAAAGCCCTAGCGAATTAAACTGGAAAAGGAGAAAAGAGTAGCACAAGGAGCTCCTTCGATTGCTTGAATGCAATCTCTTAAGCGATCAGATGGAGCTATTCAAGCAATCAAATTTAGATTTATTACATGCTCTGTGACATGTAATTGCGTTAAAACCAAAAAGACAAAAGCAAGACCCTAGTTCATACAGTGCAAAGTATTAAAAACCGATTTTCTGAACGCGTTCATACTTCGCGATCCAATTTTCAATCGTGTGTAAGTGTGAATTGTCGTGTTTCACCGCACTAATAAATAGCGCGGGTATGATTCTTAAGTAACGGTGATTTGACGAGGAGCTCGTTTGACCTAGCGGGATCGAACAAAACCAGTAGCCCTGCTTGTCTAAAATATTTTCACGGGTGTTCTGTTAAGCTTGAGAATGGACATCAGCTTACCACAAGAGCTGTTAATCACAGGGCGGAAGTCTTTGCTCCAGCCAGGTACCCAAGATAAATAATAATATACAGCGCCTTGCGAGTTACCAAGGCACACCACCGCGGCTCCCCTCTGCATTTTCTTCTTCACGTACTTTGCAGCCCATAAACTATCATATATGTCCCATATCATATAAAATCAATGTTTCTTCGCTGATGTTTAGACTGGGAGAAACAAAAGAGCAACTTTTGTTAAGTCAAGTACATTGCAGAACGGCTTCGATCCACGACTGCATGACGACTCCTTGAGACTTCTCTACACTTATGCCCCCACAGTCGACCCGTTGTAATGTGGTCCGGCTTCTTGTCGACATAGCTGTGAGCGCCTCCCTTTCTTTCTTAAGTTCAACATCCATATTCTATCCACAGAACATTGCAGCCGGACTGTATCGAGGACAGGGACGATGCTGGAATGCCTCCATTTTTAGCAGCTGTCTGCCATAACGCTCTTGATGTGGTTAAGGTGAGGGGTTAGCATGATTTTCTAATCAATGTGATCCCATTAAAATGATAAACAACGTGTTCAGAGTGTGGGTAATACAAACTATACTCTAGTTCTTGCTAGTTGTTTGTACGCCGGATCGCTGTTCGTGAGAGCTCCATGCCAATAGGCCCAATCGCGCTCTGATTGTTGTACATGGGCGGGGTCAGGCCTTCCGTTGTCTCGCTTTTCCTTAACAGGGGGGTGCACCAGAAAGGAAGGCGCAATGGGGAGCTGATTCTAAGTTTATGAGAGAATGCAATATGTTGTACAGTCAATTAGTTGGGAGAGATGTAATTAGCCTACCGGCGGTGTTTCCACCGTCAGTTGTTCGTCCGAAATCACTCACTCACCTATCTTCTTTGGCAGAGAAAAGCAGCCCGGAGCGGGCTCATTCCGCCCCACCAAGAACCACCCTGACTGATCGCGGCGATATCGGCTATACATTGAAGGTTCCAAGCTACGCACTGAAACATCATGATACACTTGAACAGCTCCGTTCTAAGCGATTCTCATCACTACTCCGTGCTCAAGATCGATTCTTCTGAACGATTCCCCTTTAAAGGCTTGGCTAGATGAGTCGAGTTCTTAAGAACCTTTCCGCCCAAAGGACGAAATTCCGAGTGGTTTTTGACTGAGCGCAAGGTTGCGCTTCTCCACCAACACTCAATCCCTTCTAGTACCACTGGAATCGTATTTGATCCTTGCATATCAGCTTGAAGAAAACACCCCCCCCCTACGCAAATGTTGGAACAACTGATTGAATTTTTTTATTGATTTGATTTGTGTCGGCTGATAGTTGTGGGTGACATTCCAACCATTTCTTTTCAGATCCTCATAGAACATGGAACTGACATCTTTGTCACCGATGAGGAAGGACGGACTGCAATTCATGTTGGTGCTAAGTTCAATGCCATTAAGGTGTTACGGGTGAGTTAGTCTTTGTAAACCACATGGGTTATTTTTCTTTACGAATTGCCCGAAAAAAACAATAAACAAAGTGCACAAATAAGCAATGTAGACTGTTGCCGAATTATCACTTATAATTCTTGTCCAGAAGTGTCTAAAAGCGTGGAAGCGTCTCACTGATTCTGTGAAAGAATTGCGAAGACTTAGCCAAGTGCAGGCTCTTTTTTCCTCTTGGATGCCCATGATTGGCGCAAGAGAGAAGCTCCAGAGCTATGAATGTCACAAACGTTCAAGTCATTTACAAACTTTTTCAATCAAACTTACTTTAATCAAACAAAGAATTCATGAGCCGTCACCATCAGTAACTTTTTGCCAACAACCGAGCAATGAGCGTTGGCCTCGCTTCCAAAGGCTTTTCGGTTCCGTGCCGAGAAAGGCAGATATGTTATTATTGAAGTGCTTTTAAAAACCGTATTTACCTGAAAGACAGTTCAGGGGACGAGATTAGATGACTAGGCAAAGCTGTATGATGGGTGCAGTAGAACTTGCCAACCAAGCGTCAAGATCTCAAGCTGTGTCATTTTCGAAACGTGTGGTCTTGAGTGGTCATGGTAACTTTGTTGGGTTATGGGGAAAAATTAGGGAGATTCTCTATCGCTCTTAGTATACATATACTCCTTATCCCTGACACAGAGTAGGCGTGGCATTTGAACATGGCGCAGAATGGATTACTTGTGGGATATTTCAGTTTGAGACAACTGTCATCTTGTTCTGTGTTGGACAGCGACATGATAATAATAGCCTCAAAATGAAAGCACCTCACAGAAACCTTAACCGCCGCCACTTTCAGTTCAAGTAAGCAGCCACGCCTACCCCATCTCAGTGATTTTAAGTGTATTACGGCTCGCTAGTATCCATAGCGTTTGCAGGAAACATTTCCTCCGGTAAACTCAACTAAACTCAAACGCGAACTACTGATCAGATGCATAGCTCACCTCTCAAATTGATTGTTCACATCCCATGACTGATTCTGCCCTTCCTGTTAGGCTTAGCCAATGGTGCTTATGAGAATGATCCATGTGGAGGTCTTCCTTCTTCAGCTACAACGTTGCTCAAGGAGGATCGGCCAACTCATGGGATCGTAGGGTCTTGGGCTATAGGGAACCCTTCAATCAGTTTTTTTTACTTGTTTTCCATTGATGGTTGCGGCTCGGGCGTTCCATGAGTGCTGAGAAAGGAGCTGGTGCCGCGCCACAACCCACGCCCCGATGACACGCCCCTGACTTCACTGGTCACGATTGCGCATGTACATT